GTCCCTGACCTTGGGTCCTCGGGGTCTAGTTGGGGACAGGACATGCACACAGTTTACAGCACTATGTCTAGCACATAGTTGTTCAATACGTATTTGTTGGGTGGATGAATGATGCTTTTTCTCTGAAGATTTATTTATTTACTTGTGAGAGAGAGAGCAGGCACATGCACGTGCTCAAGTAGGGGGAGGAGCAGAGGGAGAGAATCTCTGCTGAGCGTGGAGCCTGACACGGCACCCATTCCACAGCCCATGAGATCATGACCTGAGCCGAAACCAAGAGTCGGATGCCTAACCAACTGAGCCACCCAGGCGCCCTTGAGTGAATGAACATTAACTATAGAGAATGAATGAACATTAACTATAGAGAGCTCCCCCCAAAGCAGGGACAGTACGGTGCTGTGGCAGAGACATGAGAGAGTATGTTAAAAATGGAGAAGACCAGGGAGGTGTGCTGGAGGAGTAGCATGTAAGCAGGATCTTGGCGTTTTTTAGACTCAGAGAGAAAAGCAAGAGAAGCATTCTCGGTGGTGGGGCAGTCTGTGCAAAGGCCCAGAGCCAAAGCTGGGGCGCTGAGCAGGCCAGGGGTACGTGAGAGCGTGGCCCACTCAGTTGCAGACCGGGCTCCCAGAGAGCAGCTGAGCCCTCGGCAGGACTCCCTGGGTCAGGCAGGATGGAGTGCCTGAAGTCCAATAAAATCAGACCTTGGGGCGCCTGGCCGGCTCAGTTGGTGGAGCTTGCGACGCTTGATCTCAGGGTCATGAGTTCAAGCCCCACGTTGGGTGTGGAGCTTACTTTAAAAAAAACAAAACCTTGGGATGCCTGGGTGGCTCAGTCTGTTAAGCGGCTGCCTTCGGCTCGGGTCGTGATCCCAGGGTCCTGGAATCGAGCCCCATGTCCAGCTCTGTGCTCAGCAGGGAGCCTGCTTCTCCCTCTCCCTCTGCTTGCCTGTCTGCCTGCTTGTGATCTCTCTTCCTCTCTCTCTCTCTGTGTCAAATAAATAAATAAAAAATCTTTTAAAAAAAGTTAAAAAAAAAAAAAACAAAACCACAGAACTCAGGGAGAAAAGGGGGTGGGGACAGCATCCCCATCTGCCCGGGACGGGGTGAGGGTACTGGCGCAGGTGGCTGCTAGCTGGGTGTCAGGAGGGGGTCGGGAGGCAAAGGTGGTGTTTGTGTGAGGTCGGTAGAGCTGGAACTAACCCGATATCCAAGTGGGGCCACGTCACAGGCTGTGAGGTCTCTGCTGGTTTTGTGTTCTTCAGAGGGAAAGCGGTTTCTAATCCTGGGAAACCCGGGGTGTTCCCATGTCACAGCTGCTGGGTGACCCGTGTCACCTGAGCTCCAGCCTTTGTATGGCCCGAGCAGATGCTGAGCCTCCGGCAGGATGTGCTGACCGAAGTCGGCACCTCCCCTGGGAGGCAGCCCTTCCAGCCCAGGGCTGCGGGGAATGAGGCAAGAGAAACTGCCCCTGCTCTGCACGGAGCCTCCTGACGCTGGGGCCCTCGGCCCTCACACCCTTCCTCCGTTCCCTCCAGGAATGTGGTGTAACCCCAGAAAGTGAGAATCTTACCCTGTCATCCTCGGGAGCTATTGACCAGTCATCTTGCACGGGGACGCCTCTCTCTTCCACAATCTCCTCCCCAGAAGGTACATGAGGGAGCGGGAGCGATTTCACGTTGTTCTGCTCTGCCCAGTCCTCGGCGCTCCCGACAGCCCCTCCGGAGGGACTCGGGCCGGCAGGTTGATACTTAAGCTGCATGAAAACCAGGCCCCTCTCAGAGGCCAGGGGGTCCTGCTGACAACTGCGGGGAGGGCTCATCTCACCCCCCCGGCCCTGCTGTCATGGGCTCCTTGAACGCTGACTCAGGGACAAGCAGATCCTTGCTCCCGGAGTTGAGTTCTGAGCTCTAAAATGTGAAGGAGCAGAACCTCGGAAGACCTGAAACCTAAACCTTTGTCGGTGAGGGTGTGGCGAGGCCACTGTCGTCCCCGCTGCGTGAGCACGGGGAGGCCGCTCTGCTCCTCGGTCCGCTCCCAGAAGCCATGCCTGACCTCCCATCTCCTTCCTTCCTCCCCTGGCTGCGCAGACCCTGCCAGCAGCAGTCTGGCCCAGTCGGTTATGTCCATGGTGTCCTCCCAGAGCCAGCACTCCCAGATCAGCACCGACACGCTGTCCTCCATGTCCGGCTCCTACATCGCCCCTGGCACTGAGGAAGAGGCGCTCCCCTCGCCGCGGGCCGCCAGCAGGGCCCCCTCAGAAGGAGAGGTAGGGGAGGAGTGAGCGGGCATTGTCTCTGCTGCTCTGTGCTCTGCACACGTGTCCCGAGTAGCTCAACCCAGGGCCTGCCAGGGATCCCTGCCAGGGCGCCGGCTGTGCTGGGAAGGAGTGCCATGGAAAACAAGGTGGGGCCGTTGAATCAAAGCCTCCCTCACGCCTGACTCCTCCGTCTGGTGCCATGTCTGTCCCGAGGACCTGGTTTGGGTTTGCCGGCGGGCCGGGTGGGAGAGCAGCGGTGTCTGTGCCTTGATTTCTGTTGCTCTTTGGCAGGTGATGCCGGCAGCATCTGCAGACAGCAACTTCATTGGCCTGGCTGCCGAAGAGCAGGACGCAGAGGTACTGCCGAATGCGGGCGGCAGGGCTCCCTCCCATCAGAGGGACTGTTGGCACTGGCGGGGGGTGCGATGGCACGGGGGCTGTTCTGGAAGAAGCCTTCCGAGGTGGCGTGTTTGGCTCAGTTAGGGGTGGGGTGTGGTGTAGAGGGAAGAGTGGCCACGCACGCTGGTCAGCGGACTGTCCCTTAGCACAGCGCAGTGGTTGCCGTGTAACAGGCGTCCTGGAGGGAGTCCTAGAGGGAACTCTCCCCGGCCAGACCCTAGACCTGAGGATGTGGTCGTCCTTCGTTCACTTAGGATTTACACAGAATGACTGTGGCACAGGCCCCTCCTGGCACTGGGAGACATAGGGACCCCAGTGACCTGGTTTTAGCCTCCCCCTATTCCTCCGTCCCGACTATATATCCTCATCCAGGGGCGCCTGGCTGGCTCAGTCAGCAGAGCATGCAACTCCTGATCTCAGGGTTGTAAGTTCGAGCCCCACATTGGGTATAGAGATTACTAAAAAATAAATAAACTGTATACTCATCCCGGAGCCCCATGGCAGGTGGTGGGGACAGGATTAAGGTTCAGCATAGAATGCCCTGACGGAGGTGCTCAGGAAGTGCATGAAATGCCCAGGTCACAGTGAGGGCACTAGAACTTCCTCTTGAGCCAGATGCTCTCATGGGAGTAGGTTTGGGATCCTAAGGAATTTCTGGAAGTTTTATGATCTTACTATTTGCTTCTTCATATGACAACGTTTATTTCCACCTTCAAGAGACGGTATGAGCTAAACTGTTACCAAGGCTAATCCTGACATTCCCTGGGTACCTCTGTAACGGGGCTCAGACCTGGTCCCTGTGGGCAGACCATGCCTCCCCAAGCAAACTCTGTCTCTGCCAGGCCTCCTAGGCTTCTCAGCCACGATGGGAAGCGTATGCTATTGACGAAGGCCCTGGAGTGAGATACCATTAGGCCAGTTACTTCTGTCTTCAGCTGCTCAATATATTCACTTTACTGCTTTTATAGACTCACAGCCCCTTCCTTCTGTCCTAGGGGAATGATGTTATAGAAGAGGACGGATCGCCCACACAAGAAGATGGTAAAAGACCTGGTCTTTTGCTCCCTCTTATGAGATTCCTTTCCGGGGTGATCTTTAAAGGGCACAGAAAGGGGCACTGGTATGACTCGGTGGCTCTACTCAGTTGTGTGGCTGTTGGGGAAAGCTTGTCTTCTTGATGGACTAGCAGAGCCAGCAGAGTATTTGAGGACCACAGTGGTCTTCTTGGCTCTTGCCAAGGATGTCCGGACGAAGCTGCTGCAGAAGGCACACGGGGAGCGCTAAATTTGCGTGGACCACGTTCTGAAGCCTCTCAGGCAGCCCCCGTCGCCTTCCTTCCCGCTTCCGCTTTTCAGCCGAGTCCACAGAGCTGCTCTGGAAGCTCTGATGTTTAGCAGCAGCAGTAAAACGGTTCGCTCCACTTGGGAGAAAGGCCTGTTAGGCAGCTGGTTTGGTTCTGCGATAGCAAAGAAGATGGCTGACGTTTCGGTAGCAGAGAGACCTTAGGGGCCAGCGGGCACAGAGAAGGTGTGAGGAGCCTGACACCGGCAGCTCAGCGTAGACAAGCTATCTGTAGGCTGCCGTAATGACTTTCTTTACTGTGACTCGGGCCTCCGTTATATCTTCAGATGGACGTGTTTTGTGTCCAGGAAGGCTGGGAGAGAAGGAATGATCTCCAGAGCAAGGAAGTGGGAAGAGGAGGTGGGGCTGGGAGAATCCCCTGGGAATGGAATCTGCCCTGGCTCCGGAGCCAGCATCTCTGCCCTGTGCTGCTCTGAGGGGCCTCCCGCAGCAGGGCACCTCCACGGCAGACCTGGACCCCAGCCTGGACGCAGATGTCATCCTTTTTGCTTCTGCTTTGGCACTGGCCGCTGCTTGGCGAGTTGAGGGGTGTGCATGCTGGCCTGACCCAGTCGCCCCGAAGGAGGGCCTGGCCGCCAAGGCTGTGCCTCCGCCACACTTGCACGCCAGCCCAAGACAGGGTCGGGCGCTTCATCGACTTGGTTGATGCCTTCAGTGCTCGAGGTTCCCAAGTTTCACCCTCTGTGATCGCTCCCCCCCCACCATAGAATGTTCGCTTCTGAAAAATGCAGGGTGGCGGGCGGTTTCCGCCTGACATTCCATAGCCCACACAATGGATTTATGTTTTTTCCTCTGCCTTTCATCAAGAGAAAACCGGAGGCGTGGGGGAAGCTAGAAAAAATAACATCTGAAACCTTCCCCTTCCCTTTACACGTCCGTAGGTTTGTGCTCAGACCCTTAAAACACACTCAAAATAACAAAGTTTCATAGGAAAATAAAACAATTTTGTGGAGGTGGTGATCCTGACTAATATGCAAAATTATGGAACCTGAGACCTTTAGTTTTTGTTTTATGTATTTTATCATTTTACAGAGCCTTGTGGTCATAAACACCCGACGGGCCCTGACAGACGCAGGCAGGAGCGGGGGCAGCCTCTCTCCACGCCCCCTGTGCGGCTCTCTGTGGAGCCCGCATCCCGCACCTCCCCCCCTCCGGTGGTCTCCGCACCTGCTGGGAAGGAGCCAGTTCAGGAGACAGGGCAGGACAGGGCAAAAACACAGACAGGCCCACGCAGTTTGATTCCTTTATTGTCCACTCTTTACCCACTTAATTACTGTCTTTTTTTTAACATATGATTTGATTTTTTTTGTCTCCATCCTTAAGATTTTTTTTTTTTTTAAGGACAGCAAAGCAGAGAAAAAATACAGCCAGCCCCTCTCTAACTGCGTTAACTCCGTTACAGGCCAGAGGACATGCGCATTTCTAGGTATGGAGTGTGACAATAACAATGACTTTGGCATCGCCAGCGTGAAAGCACTGGACAATAAGCTGTGCCCTGAGGTCTGCTTACCCGGTGAGTGGCAGTCTGCTGAACATGAACTTGGTGGGAGACGCTCCCCTGCTCGCACCCCTGCTCTCACCCTGGGACACCCACCTCCTGCCCTGCCCGTCCTGCAAGAAGGCCTGGGCTATGCTAGGATGCTGGAAGCCAGATGCTGGAAGGAAGTGAGGAGGCCTCGGGAGAGTCCTTGAACTTTGTGCAGACAGCAAACCTTGCTCTGAACAAGACTGTTAGGACAGGAAGACAGGAGTAGAACCCCCTCTCCTTCCGAATTGGCCTGACTTTGCCGCCCTCCACCCCGATCCTGGGGGGGGGGTCCCATGGCAGGTGGCCTGGTCTTGTTTTCATCAACAGGAAGTTTGAGGCAGCCCTTGCCTCTCTGAGAGGGTCTTAGAAAGATAGCCCGAGTCCTTGAAAAGGGGATCCGGTCCCTAGCTCCTTGGAAGGAATTTGTTTAGTTAGGAGCAGGGAGGAATTGGAAAGCCGACGTGGTTTCGATTAGCACATGGCTCTCTGAGCCAGTGAGCTTTGGGTTACCAGTTGCATTGTACTTATTATACTTGGATCCCAAAGGAGAGAGAGGTCAGGGGTCGAGGATGACTATGCTCCCTGGAGCCCTAACTTTAAATTTGGTCAGGACTATTAACATGCCCCTTGTCCCTTCTCCTGATACTAAGCTGAACCTGGGATAACTTCTTATGCAGGAACCATGCTAAGCACACCATGAGCACTCACCTCCTTCTAGTCTATGTGCTCATTCAAGGGCTCCACGAACCGCTTCTCTGAAGCCAAGTCTTGCCCAGGTGGACTAGGTCAAAACCGCCCTCACAGCAGAGATTGTCCTCCACGTTGTGGTGTCTGTAATCCCTTCAGCATCCCCTGAAATGAAGACTTATTTGAACTCAGAACAGCCACGTCACATCGTGGGTCCAGTGCTTTACTCGCTCAGCGAAGCGGCTAGAGGCTTTGGAGTGGTGCAGCCTCCTGTGGCGGCCACTGTCCGTCAGCCTGTGAGAGACACCAGGCCTCTCATGCCCGGCCCCACACCGGCTGGTGGCCCGGAAGCCGTGATTCCCAGAAGATGCTTTCTCCGGCCTTTCAAAGGCCTCTCTCCAGTTGTTTTCTATTTAGTGCGTCCTGAAGATACTGCCCAGGACTCTGACGTTCAGTGAGGCCAAAAGATGCCATGTCAGTCCTCCTGCTTCTCCCGCCTGCTGGTGGAGGAGGGAGCGTGGACCCAGTCGGGCCTGGACTGGAGCTGTGGGGCCCGGGCACACGTCACTTCTTGCCTTCCCACTCCTCACGTCGCTTCCGTCTGTCCGTTTGTTTTTCACGTCTTTTTGCCAAACGTAAATCTGTCTGTCTGGTTTGTTTCTTTTGAAGCTCATTTCTGTTGCGTAGACTTCGTGTGGAGGTTCATGTTCACCGCGCCAGCACCGTCCCCCCCCACCCGGGCCACGCTGTGTCCGACACCACGCTTGCTGGGTGTGCGCACATCCCAGAGGCTCCTGCTTACGTCTCCAGTCCTAACTGGCAAGGGCCTGCATTCATTTGATAGATTCTCTGAGAAAAAATATTTGCAAAGATAAATTAATCCCTGCTCCACAAAACATGGGGACGCCTCTGTGACAAGCATTATGAGGATTTGAGTTGGCATCCCGTGTCACTAGGCAGGAAAGATGACATCTCTGCCCTGCGTCTGTGGCCGCTCTCTAGCAGCCACCCTTTGGCCAGGCTCTTGCCTCCCTCGAGGGGCACCCCCACCCACCCCCGTTTTTTGGCAGAGGGAGTTGCCGGGAACTGTTTTAGGCAACCATGCTGGTGGAAACGGAGCTTGTTCTTTCTTTCTGCTTCCTCCTGCCCCTGACCCCCTCTGGCCAACCTGCTTGTTGCTATTTATTCCACTTACGGGACTGCTTGCGGGAAGAGGAAAGGACCCCGGGGTTCCTTACGGTGCTCTCAAGAGCCAGCGGGCTGAGATGAGACTAGGTTCACAGTTCAGGCCAGTCGTGCAACCAAATGCCTGTGACGCCTGTCGGGAGAGCGACTCAGGTAGAAGCACCTGAGGTGTCCCCTTGTCCCCTCCCCAGAGGTCTTAGGGGAGAGGGAAAGTACGTCTGCTTTCTTGGTAAAACGTTTGTCTGGTTCTGCTGTTAGCATCACACCGGTAGCAACGGGATGGGGACCTCTCAGGAAGCATCTGTTGGGTTAATAACAGGAGTATCCACTTCGGTAGGTCCCGTGGAATAAATAGGCCTCCTCACGCTCAGCTCTTAAGTTCACACTTCCATCCTGTGACTGAGACGCCCACGGGCTGACTCGGCTCCATGTTCTGTGGCCGTCAGGACACCTTCTCAGGCACTCGGTCTCTTCTTGAGTCTGTTCCCCTGTCCGAGTGGCGCCGCTCCCTTCACGGAGGGCTGAGGTTCTAGGAGCAGAGCCGCGGGGAGCCTCCCGTGCTGTCCCCTGTGCCACATGCCATCCTCCCCATGCTCACGCGCGCTCTGCCGGGAGTCCCAGCGGATGACGAAGACCACGCGGATCCGCATCCTCACCACTCTTCATCACACTCATGGGGGTGTCACTGGGAAGGCACCCGTATCTCACCAGCCCTTCTTCCCCTAAGAAGCTTCTGAGCCTTCTTGGGCCCTAAGGCCAAGGGGGTGGCGTGTTCTGAGATTGTTCTCAAAGGTCTCAAACGAAGGAAGTCGAAGTTGACAGGTGCAGGTGGTGAGCAGGTTAGAATTGTGAAGCCATGCTAAGTAGATGTGGTTCCAGGGAATCGTATGGAGTAGCACACAGGCGGCAGCAGGGGCCAGGGCACCAGTGAGAAGTCTGAACAGATTCTGGGTAGTGTATGTGATGGAGAAGATAAAACAAAACTCATTTGGGTTTGTTGGTGGAAATAGAAATATATTTTTAAATGACCTCATTGTGCAGGAGTGGACATACCCAGTGAAACCTAGCAATACCTACAGAAACCTGAAATTCAGGTCACTCCTCTCTTCAAGCCTCATAACCTGAGATGGAGATGCTGCTAGGAAAGTTTACACTTCATAGACACGAAGGGAAAATCTGAATTCGGTTTCTCTTTCCACTGGAAACTCTTTGAGACAATCACACTATTCTAGCGCTTACATCTAATCAGTGGCGTGGTAGAGGCAGGAAAGGGGTGTGCGGAATTCCCCTAAATATGCTCCCCAAATCTACCTCTAGAGGTCTCTCTGCTCGCCCATTTCTCCTCCTCTAGATGGGACTTGCAGGGAAGGCACCTTGATCTACCTCCATGAAGGATTTCAGTCACCAAGCTCCAGCGTCTGGCTGGAGGGCTGGACGGGGCCGCAGGAGAGCCCCAGCAGGGTTTTGCCGAGGGCCCATCACATCCCGTGCAGGGGGGAGGGCACCTTGTTATCGCTGCTCAACCTCCGCCTCGCCGCCGAGTGCATCAAGAACCCGGGAGAACAGATACTGGAGCTCTAGTCTTGAGGCTATTCCGGAAGGGACGGTTTTCAGCCGGGGCTAAGGCTTCTAGAGTGGTGGAGCTGGTAGCAAGGACTCCTGTGAATTCGGAGTCAGGACAGCCTGTCGGTCCGGCGTCCCGTGGCGAGCTGGTTGGTGGCGGCGGTGGCATGGATTGTAACGTGTGCGTGTGTGTCTTCTCTCTTGTTCACCGTTTGCTTTTGGTCTCTCCCACCAAACAGCCACCGTTCCGGAGTCCTGCCCCATAAACATTGAGGACTAGGTATGAGATCTACCAAATTCTATAAGTGAACGAACAACTCATTGCATTTTGGGGGCTCCTAACCTACAGTCTTGCCTTCTCTTCGTCCTGTCACACTTGAGTACCACCCTTAGAGGAGAAAGCACTTTTGACCCGTGTCCCAGACTCCGGGGAAGAGAAATCTCCAAATTCCACCTGGGTGTGAGAGATACCTACGAATTTTCTGTTTCGCCCACTTCTCTTCCTGGGGGCCCACCTCCACAGACTGCTATTAGAGCCTTAGGATGGGTTATCACACCAGGACCCTTACGGTAAATAAGCAGTTTATACCCACTTAATCCCAGTGTCCAGACCATTAGAGGAGCTCGGGCTAGCCCTAGCGTGAGGCCGACCCCAGACGTTGGAGAGCAGCCCCCTCAAACATGAGCACAATGAGCCTCGGGCCCTCCCTGTGCACCTGGGCAGCCGGGTCTGTCCCCTGCAGCAGTCCTCTGAGGGGCCAGGCCTGCCCCGGAGGAGGGCAGGGGTTCCCGATTCCCTCGCAGTGTGAGATGCGCACTGTGGTGGCGGGACAGGTTGGGGGGCACCGTGGAGCAAGCGTGCCTCACCGGGCTGGGGGTCCTCATGAAGGCGGGCCGCGCGGAGGTGCAGCTCCGGAGGGCTGCAGGGAAGGCTGCAGGGAGGGCTGGGGGACCCCATGGAGATAGGTCTTCACCCGGAGCCTCTGTCTCTTGGCCGGGGGGTGGTTCGCGCTGCACTGGATTGGATGAGCCTGTCTGGGCCAGGAAGACAGTCGAGGGGAGACCCCGGGAGAGATGAGGGTGGCCTGATAAGCGTGGGGGCTGGTTGAGCACACCCTATGAGTCAATCCTGTGAGGAGAGCACTCAGCCCCCATTTGATGAGTGGGAGAACCAAGGCTCCCAGTGAAGTGAGCTGCCCAGGAGCATGCAGCCAGGCAGTCAGGACCCAGGAGTGAAGCCCGGGTTTTCTGACCACAGGCGGACAAACAGGAGGCAGGGATGGATTAAATCCAGAGCACCAAGGACAGGGGAGCCAAAGATGGGCTACCGGCCCTGGCGTCCGGTGCTGATCGTGCAGGAGTGGCGGCGGATTTGGGGGAAGATGAGAAGTTGAGTGGGTGCTGCCTGGGGGATCCCAGGGCTCTCGGGCTGGTGTCTCCCGGGGTTGATGGTGACCTCAGCAGGCTGCTAGGGGCAGGAGGAGATGAACAGCAGCAGGTGTGCAAGAGGGTTGCTTCAGGCATCACACCGGCTCCCCCCGCCCATGCCCTTCTGTCCCTGGCACCCTGCTGGGCTACCAGCCCCCACAGCAAACACTGACACCGGACCCACATTAACACGCTCTTCTCACTCTCGTCCACTGCTTCCTGCCCTGGCGAAACCTCAGCTACACCTGGTTTCTTTGTCCTGTCCACCATAACATACCGGCAAACTTAAAGACACAGAAGTGGATTGCAGGGCAAGTTCACAGAACAAGAGCTACCCTGCATGTTCCTCTCTGTCAGTAGTCTCCACAGTGGCCGTGACTGTACTTAGCCCGTTCGGACAGGAGCAGTCCCCTGCCCCCAAGGCGCCCACCGCGCCCAGTTCTCTCTCCCTCGCTGTGGCCCACGCACACGCATCCTGCTAGACTCCGTGCCGAACTCCTGGGCTGTCCCGCTGGAGAGGCCATCTGGACCCTGCCAGAGATCGGCTCCTAAACCCTTCCTTCTCTCCACTCCAGGCACCTGGCAGGCCGATGACAACGTTGTCAGTCGTCGGAATGCACAGCGCCGGCGCTTATCATCTGGCAGCCTGGAGGACCCCGAGGACAGGCCCTGTGTGTGGGGTCCTTTGGCCGTCTGAGAGCCCCAGCCCGTGCACCTGGGCTCCCTCCTGCCCCCACCTTCCATCCTGGCCTCACTGGACTGCTGGCCTCCTGGGCGTCCTCAGCGAGACCATGAAGACTCTGCATCCAGATGAAAGCTGGACATGGAGGTCCACCTGCTCCTGCTCCCAGCCCGGTCTCCTCCATAACCATGACCCTTCCCCTCCCAGAAGGAACTAGAAGCCTCCTCTCTCCTTGTGGGTTGGAGCCTCTCAATGAACTGCTGCTCATGGGACCCTTTGCAGAGACTCTCTGGAATGTATCCAGAGATAGATAGATGAACCTATCTTAATCTTCAGGTGGAGCCGAGATCCACAGGCTGGTTGTTTCTCATCTTTTTCTCCTTAGGGGGCGTGCCAAGAGGACCTGGAGTTTTGGCAGTTTCATTACAAACACCCATCTGGCGTTTTCTTGTCTCTGGAACATCATAAGCAATTTGAACCCTCCACTTTGGGGTGGGGTTGGGGGATGGCTCCTGTGAGAAGGGAAAGCCATTTTGCACTCTAAGCCAAGTTCCCCTCAAAAAGCATTAGGAGCTCCTTTCTCAAGGATGAGAAACGGTAGCAACCAAAAAGTTGGTTGAAAAAAACAGTTCTTGCTTCTGGTCACAGAGCTAGTGTCCTGGGCCTCATGTGTCTGTCTGCTTAGGAAGGAGGCCTTGGATCTGAGAATCCCCCAGTTACATGATTACCCTTAGGAAGGTTATTCATGGTCAGGTGCATTCATGAAGGCCTGGGACGCCATCCGAAGGTGACTTTTCAAAAAACACATTTGTGGCCCCTTCTGTCTGCCAGGCACTGTCTTGTCAGCTGTGCTATATTCTCACGTTTCATCACCGCACCCCGTCAGGTGGCATTCTTACACCTGTCGTTCCTGTCCCCACCCCTTGTGAATAGTTGAAGAAATAGGCAGAGGGAGGGGGTTGAGCAGTGATTCTCAAGTTGGAGCCCGGGAGTCCCGAAGGAGGAGGAGCACGCTGCCGAGCTGGGGCTAGCGGTGATGCGGGAGCCTCCCCACCCCACGGGTTTGCCTCCCCTGCCTTCCAGATCTGCTGAGCCTGGCGGGGGGGATGGGGAGGTACTCCTTCCCCAGGCTCTTTAGAGATTCAGAGATACTGTTCAAATCATGTGCCCCCCCCCAGCCCTCCTCAGCCCCGTGTAAGGCATGTAGACAAAAGTCTGAAACAGCGAGGCCAGGCTGTAAGCTGTTGGGAGTTACTCCTCCTCTCTCAACACTGGTGTTGCCAGTGGGTTCCACCTAGTTCTTGGACAGATGTGTTGTCCACTGGCTTTGGGGAAAGGTGGTCTTTTAGTGGAGCATGAGATAGGGAAGCAAGGTCACATACAGCCATTTGTGAGGCTGAGATGCAGTGGAGCCTTAAGCTCTGCCCATCATGATGGCCTGTCTTCATATTCGGAATTGTTACCCTGAAAGAGTTTTTTCAGGGCCGTTTCCAACACCCCAAAGAGAGCCTGGTGCCCAGGGAATCCTTTGCACCTTCTGTGTAGCTTCTTTGCACTGTCAGGCCTTGTGGTTATGGCTCAGGTCCTGCCCTGGTTGGGGGAAGGCCTGTTGTCCTGACAGACATGACATGAACCAAGCCTGAATCGAAGCTTCTGTCCTGAGTCCCCATGTCCCCCTCTCCGAGGTCCTGCCATGGACTCTGCTGCTTCGGGACCTACTCCTGTCCTTTCTTTCCCCCAATATTCTTACAGCCCCTTTTGTGTTTGACATCGGAGCAATAACCCCACTTCCTGATTTCCTTGAAGTTTAAGCCCCAGGGAATGGGGAGCTTCCCTTAGCCTGGGGTGGCGGCACACAGCCTCGTATTCACAGTGTGGTGTTCCCCGAGATGAAAGAGATGCAGGTAAACAGTAGCCACAGTGGCCAGGAACCCTGAAGGGAAACCATTATCACCCTCTTCTGAGGAGGACCAGCCTGTGTCCTTCCTCGAAGCACATGCTGGGTCCTCCCCCCAGCAAGAGGCTCACAAAGATTCTTCAAGGCCTTGGTTCCATAACCAAGACATGCCTGGGTTAGAAATGGCCCTTTCACCCCTGTTTCTCAGACCGAGCTTTCCATATCTCTCTCTCTCTGTCTTCCCCTCCGCCTCTCCCCTCTTTGTTCTTATTTGGCTCTTAGGCAAGCAGAAATACCCCATCCAAAGGAGCTGGTCTTTAGTCAGCCTGATCAGGGAACAGGGCAGCTGCCAACCCTACTGCCCCAGTCCATCATCTGGAGACAGTCATGTTCTGAGCAATTGACCCGGAGAGAATGGGATGGGGCCTGGCTCTTCACTTGAGGGCACAGACTATCTGGAGGGCTGTGGCTCCTCCCGCCAGCTCCCGTCAGAGGTCTGAGCTCTCCGCGGCGTCCAGGTGGTGTGGTGATCCCGGCCTCACAGAGCCTTCTCCCCTTCCTCACCCAGTTCCACCCACCAGAGTTTATGCCAAAATAAACTCTGGGGCATCTCCTGGGCACAGACCCACACACTTTGAGCCATCTCACCTTGGGAGAGTTAGGGTCCTGCCCGCCTGATCTCGGCATGCTGGTCGATCCCTTCGCTTTAGGACCTGCACCCCTGGTGTGTGCAAGTGTGTGTGTGTGTGCACTGTTTGTGCCATCCGTGTACCCTCTCTCACTCATGGGTACATTCATGGGCACATTACAGTGGGGACGTCAAGGATGCAATATTTATGGATTGCTGCATGATTCTTAAAAACGAATAAAACTGTTTACAAGGGAAGGAGAGCTGTTAATTGCGCCCTTGGCTTATTTGTGAAAGTCTCTTTGTCCAGTGCTCAAATATTTTTACTCAAGAGAATCTAGAAGTGGAGGAGTGGGAGAGGGCATGGGGTAGGGAAAGACACGCTCCGGGGTAGGAGGTGGACATTGACGTGCCACCCTGTGGGCACAGGCTTCCCACCCCTGCCCTCCTGCTTCTGGGCAGAGGCCTGAGTAAGGAGCCCTCACCCCACCCTCACCCTTAAACTGGAGAACTTCCACCACTGCAGCTCCTCAGTAATTGAAGAGCAGGAAAGCCGGTGGGAGGAGGGAGGCCAGGGGAAGGGACGAGGAAACTCCTGGTGTCCCCCCACTCCTAGTCCCTGCCACTTAAAAGTTGGTGACACTAACGGGGCAAATGACCCTGCGAGGAGAATTCGGCGAGTCGTGGCTTCTCTTGAGTTTCACTCACCGGCTCCATTTCCTCAGCTATCTGAAAAGGAGGGAGAGACCCTCCGCAGAAGCCTCTGGAAAGTCAGCTTCCGGCAACCTTGCAGAGTACAGGGGTGGGGAGGGAGCCGCTTACCGGGAAACCCTACCCGCCGCGGGGCGTCTGGGATCGGTGCAGCCCGGACCTGAGCGGCAGGTGGCATCGGAGAGTCGGACCTGCCTGCCGGCACCGAGACGACGCTCAGGGTGGGGAGGGTGGGAGAGGGCACAGAAACGTGAGCCCAGAAGAGAGGAAAGGAAACCCCAAGCACACGATGCCCGAGCCCGCTCCCAGACTGGACCCCCGCGGAGCCGCCAACGCCCCGGAGCAGCCGGGACCGGAGGGGAGCGAGGGCAGGAGAGCGGCGGCCGGGGCGAACGGCTCCCTGGCGTGCCCGGGGCCTCGGGCGGGGACCGCGCGCTTCTCCGAGCCCTGCGCGGGGCCCTCGGGCGGGAATGCGCGGAGCCGGGACGCGGTGGCGGGTAGGGGGCTGGGTGGCGCGGGAGAGGGCGGCAGAAGGAGGGAGTTCCAGGAGAGTTAACGCCAAAGAGAGTGGCTAGGGCCCGCGGTCTCCTTGGAAACGTGCTGACCAATAGCAGCAGCGGAAGCTGTTTATGGGGGCGGAGCGTCGCCATGGCAGCAGAAGAAGCCTTTGCAGCGGCTACTTAATGCCGGTCCGGGGGCCACCGGCGCTCAGAGAGGCGCCGTCGGGCGGGGGGGCGACAAGAAGCGCTAGCGGGGCCCTCGAGCTGGGGACAGAGAGCCGCGGGGGGGTGGGAGGAACTTCTTCCAGAACCTTCTTTTGGCCCGGGCTGCTCTCTGAGCCAGGTAAGGGACTGAGACGGCTGCGGCCGCGGGAAGGGAGGGTGTCGGTACCAGTCCGCTCTCCCACCCGTCCTCGACGGAAGTGATGGACCCGGGAATGACATCTGAGTTTGGGGGACACTTACTTCTCGCCCCCCCCCCATAACTCCTATCCCGTTTCCTTCCTTCCCCGTTATCCCCCATCCTAATACCTCTTTTCAAAGATCAGACGACCTCCCCGTCTCCCGCCCGGTGATACTGCCCTCCTGGGTTCCCTCGCCCCATTTCCACTTGTTGCGGGGGGATGTGATTTCCCGCTCTTGGGGAGAAGGTGATAGCCTCAGAGGCCCCTACCCTCCTTCCACCTTTGGCTAATAAAGTCTCTTCTAAAACCTCGGAGAGGAAAAGAGAGACAGACCCAGTGGGGGTCGGACCCCCGGGCACAGCTTCTGTTTCCCAGACCTCGGCCAGAAAAGATCCTCGCCAGCAGCGGGGACGATTTTAGAGGAGCCTCCCCCTCGCACACACTCTCCCCTCGGGGGCAAGGGGGGGGGAAGTGCTCAGCTCCCGCTGTGGTCCTCCCCAGCAGGTACCACATTCATATTCGGAGGAGGCGACCCAGTGGTCGCGGGATGGAAGCGCGCGTTCGGGAGGCCCTGTAACCGGAGCCGCGGGAGTCGGCGGGCTAGAGAGCGCGGCGGGCTCCCCCCGGCTCAGCCCGTGGATGTTGACCGCCCCCTCGGAGAGTCCCCGCAGACATGGCGGAGAGCTGGCTACGCCTCTCGGGTGCAGGGGCGGTGGAGGAGGCCGGGCCGGAGGGCGGCCTGGAGGAGCCCGACGCCCTGGATGACAGCCTGACCAGCCTGCAGTGGCTGCAGGAATTCTCCATTCTCAACGCCAAGGCCCCCGCCCTGCCGCCGGGGGGCACCGACCCCCACGGCTACCACCAGGTGCCGGGCTCGGCCGCGCCGGGGTCCCCCCTGGCGGCCGATCCCGCCTGCCTGGGGCAGCCGCACACTCCGGGTAAGCCCACGTCGTCGTGCACGTCGCGGAGCGCGCCCCCGGGGTTGCAGGCCCCGCCCCCCGACGACGTGGACTACGCCACCAACCCGAATGTGAAGCCGCCTTACTCTTACGCCACGCTCA